GGAGGGCCGCGACGGCGATGAAGCGCGCCGTCCGCCGCGCTGCGTTGTTCCGCACGAGGCGCCGGAGGTCGAAGCGGAGCTCCTCCAGCCCGTGCGCGCGCGCGCTCGCCCCCCCCCCCATCGTCTGGCGGAGGCTGCGGTGGAGGGGAAAGGCCAGCCCTGCGGGGTCGAAGACCTCCTTCGCCGCCAACACCGCCGTCCCCGTCCCCGCGCCGAAGTCCAGCATCGTCCGCGGGACGAAGTGGGGGAGCTGCCGCGCGAGCTCGAAGAGGACGCGGTGGACCCCCGCGTACATCGCGGGGCCGCGGAAGAGAAAGTACCCGATCGCGTCCTCCGCCGAGTACAGCACCGTCCGGCTCGCCACCGCGTTGGCCACCGCGAGCTGGCGCTGGAAACGGATCAGGCGCTGGCGAATCTTGAACCGAAGCTTCGCCTGGGATCGCTTGTCGTGGAGGTAGAGATCCTTGAAATTCTCGCCCTTCTCCTTTCGCTCGAAGAGCTCGCGCTTTTTTTGATTCAGCGTGTCCGGCTCGCCCTCGGGGATCATATCCTCACCTCGAATCTTCCGCGAGGGCTTCTCTTCACGGTTGCGGTACTCAATAATAGGGATGATATCACGCAGGCAGCGCCGAATCTGCCCCTTATCCTTCAGTCGGAAAACTTTCATAAAGGCAGCCTGCATCGACGGCGACATAATTACCACACCGGGGTCCATATTACAGAAGTCATCCCGTACGGCCCACTGCCGCAGCGCTGGCCTCTTTTTGCACATTCGTTTCAGCATCTGGTATTCGTAGGACATCTTCGCCGTGATATCCACCACGCGAATGCGGCGGCGACCCACGCGCATCTTCGCGCTGAACTGCCCCCACGTTTCCTTTCCTTCGAGGGTCGCGCTGGGGCCCGCGGCGAGGCCGGACTCCCCCGGGCGGTGCATCGCCCCCTCCAACGGCATCCCGCCAAGGCTCCCCCCCGCACGGCGCAAAACACCCGGGAGACGACGCAGCATGGCCACGGAACGAAGCTAACAAGGGATAGGCTCAATCTTAGTGTGGACACAGAGAAATGGGCATAAGAGAGGAGTGAAAAAGAGGAGAGTATTCGAGAAAGACCTGCTCAATAGAACTAGGATACAAAAAGAACGCGAAGGGAGAAAATAACGTAACAGAAAAATAAGCCATGGCTGTAATAAAGGGGGAGGAATATAGGGGGCGGAAGGAAGAATAAAGAGCCACGAAAATACACGCAGCTTCTGAAGTATAAGCTGCATTATTCCTGAGGAGGAGACAAAAATGTAACAAAGAATCAATTCGACACGGCGCCTCATTTACCCTAAATCCTTCCAAACAATAAACAATACCTACTAAGTCTTGCTAATGCGTAAGTATATAAGTTTCTGAACGTATTCGCAATATCCTCACGTTATTTTAGACTGTAAAAGAAGTAACAACGTAATATTACGTATCGTTCAAGCAAACTGGGGTAAATAAAAATTAAAACGATTTTCCTATATTTCTGGTAACTAAAGATAAATATGTTAAGTATTTTTTTAGTTGTGGACTACACGATAAGCCATGCTATTTTATCAAAAATAAAATTCATCGAGTGCATGATTTGGTCATATAAAAAACATATATGAACATTTACACACGTTATGTTTAAATATCGATGAGACTCCTCCGTAGATATATATATATATATAAACTTTATGTTCCGGATGATGCTAGGTGGAAGAGAACAAAAACTCCACCATCAAAATAAAAAATGGCTCTGTACTGTAACATGTACCAGAGAAGAATAACCCAAAGTTGCTTCAAGTCTTGCACCATCGTACAATATCCTTCACAAAGGTCACAGTAGTTAGTTGGTTTTTAAATACACATTCGTTCAGTCAGAATAGATAGTTTATTCTGAAAATCCATCAATAATAACAATGTGTTTTTCTAATTATATTCCCTTATAAAGGTAAATTAATTTTGAAAATAAACAAAAAAAAATAACAATAGTGAATATGTACATAAACATCCACATTCGTTTTTTAATGGAAATTTTAATTCATTTTGTGATAAAGCTCCGTGAAATCCATAACATTCTCTTCACTAATGACAAAAATATAATATTTCCTATCGTCTCTTTCTAGGAGGTGTGAAAAAGTCATTCCCTTTGTCATCCACAATGATAAAGGCTGGAAATTTCTCTACCTGGATCTTCCAAATCGCCTCCATCCCTAGTTCTTCCATATCAAATACTTCCACATTTTTAATGCAGTCTTGTGCGAGCACTGCAGCAGGGCCGCCAATACTACCCAGGTAAAAACCGCCGTGCTTCTTACAGGCCTCCGTCACCATGGGGCTACGGTTCCCTTTCGCGAGCATAATCATGGAGGCGCCGTGGGATTGAAAGAGGTCGACGAAGATGTCCATGCGGCCCGCGGTGGTGGGCCCGAAGGAGCCGGAGGCCGCGCCGTCCGGCTTTTTCGCCGGACCCGCGTAATAGACCGGGAAGTCCTTCATGTACTGCGGCATCGGCGTTCCCTCCTCCAGCATATCGCGAATCCGGGCGTGGGCCATATCCCGCGCGACGACGATCGTCCCGGTGAGGCTAAGCCGGGTCTTCACGGGGTACTTCGAGAGCTCCGCGAGGAGCTCGGCCATCGGCCGGTTCAGGTCCACCTCGACGGCCGGGACCTGCAAGAGGTCCTTCTCGTTCACATCGGGCATGAACTTGACAGGGTCGTCCTCGAGCTCCTCCAGCCAAATGCCGTCCGCATTAATCTTCCCCAGGGCCTGGCGGTCGGCACTGCAGGAAACACCGATGCCGATCGGGCAGGACGCCCCATGCCGCGGCATGCGAATCACCCGCGCGTCGTGCGCGTAGTACTTTCCGCCAAACTGCGCCCCCATCCCGATGCCCTGGCAGATCGTTAGCACCTCCTTCTCCATCGCAAGATCGCGGAAGGTGTAGCCCTTCTCGGAGTCCGGCTTTACGGGTAGGTCGTCGTAGTAATGGCAGGAGGCGTATTTCACCATTTTCAGCGTCATCTCCGCACTGGTGCCCCCAATCACAACGGAGACATGATAAGGGGGGCAGGCTGACGTCCCGAACAGGGCGAGCTTTTCCTGTAGAAATAGGCGCATACATTTGGGGTTGAGCACGGACTTGGTCTCCTGAAGAAGAAAGCTCTTGTTGGCAGAGCCACCCCCCTTGGCGACAAAAAAAAGGTGTATTCCATGCCTTTCGTAGCATATAAATCGATCTGCGCGGGAAGGTTGGTGCCTGTATTCTTTTCGTCAAACATCCCAACCGGGACGATTTGACTAAAGCGTAAATTACGCTGTTGAAATATATCGAATACACCGCGGCTAATGGCCTCCTCGTCATTGCCCGTGACGTAGACCTGCTCGCCGCGGTACCCCGCGATGATGGCGGTACCCGTATCCTGGCATCCGGGTAGAATACGCCCGGCCGAAATGCACGCGTTCTTGAGAAATTGCAAAGCGACGAAGCGATCGTTGTCGCTCGCCTCGGGGTCATCGAAGATTCGGCGCAAACACGCTAAGTGTGAGGGCCGTAGTAGGTGCTCGATGTCATCAAATGCCGCGGAAGTCAGCAAGCTGAGAGCCTGTGGTTCTACTTTAAGGATGTCAGGAAGTCCGTTGCCAGGTTTCACAACTGATACATGGTCTTTACTCAGGAGACGGTATTTGGTATTTGCATGGCTTACTTTCGGTATGAGGGGAGCATAGTTAAACTTGGGTGGCAACCGCGTAAATGTGGAACGAAACATTTAGTTCTAAATTAGAAAATTATATTCCTATATTCCTTAGACTTTTGGAGATCGTTTTAATAATAGAAAATTAGCTACATACACTCTATTAAATAATAATAAACTAACCTGATTTCAGATACAAAGAGAGCAGACAAGAGGAAGAAGAAAAGAGGTGAGGAAAGAAAAGGTCAGTTGAGATTATTGAAGTGCATTAATTGTTGTTGTTGTTGTTGTTTTGGGGGGGGAAGGGGAGAGGAAGAGAAGGGGGATTTAAAACATTGCTTATTCATTTCCACAATTTCAGTTTTAGTATTATTATTGTGGTTAAATCGTGAGATCATCAATAGTGATAACAACGATAACATATCTTTTTCAAAGTTTACTCACATAATGTACAGAAATGTTTTTTCTTTTTCATTGAATTGTTTCTTCTCTATCACACTTTATATATATATATATATATATATATATATATATATATATATATATATATGTCTGTGTATATTAGTACGTAGT